TAGAATCAAGTTCAACTTGCTCAAAAATCTCCCAGACGTCGCGAAGAGACGCTTGTTGAACTTATTCAATCAATTTCTGGAGCACAACATTGTTCCGGATGATTGGAGGCAAGTAAGAGTTATCGCCATTCGAAAACCCGGTAAACCCGCGTCGGATTATAACTCGTACCGTCCCATCGCGATGCTGTCCTGTATACGGAAATTGTTGGAGAAAATGATTCTTTTTCGTCTAGACAAATGGGTCGAGTCGAATGGTTTACTTTCAGATACGCAATTTGGATTTCGGAGAGGCAAAGGAACGAGCGACTGTCTTGCGTTGCTTTCAACTGAAATTCAACTGGCCTATGCGCAAAAACAGCAAATGGGTTCAGTTTTCTTGGATATTAAGGGGGCTTTTGATTCTGTTTGTATCGATGTCCTTTCGGATAAACTCCACGATAGTGGGCTTTCACCAATTATGAACAACTATTTGAGCAACTTGTTGTCTGAGAAATATATGAGCTTTTCTCATGGAAACTCGACAACTTCACGAATTAGTTACATGGGTCTCCCCCAGGGCTCATGTTTAAGCCCCCTTCTTTATAATTTTTACGTTAAAGACATTGATGGTTGTCTTGATGAAAATTGCTCGCTAAGGCAGCTTGCAGATGACGGCGTTGTGTCCGTTATAGGGCCAAGTGCACCGGACCTGCAAGGACCATTGCAAGATACCTTAGACAATTTGTCTACTTGGGCTATGAAGCTGGGTATCGAATTCTCTCCGGAGAAAACTGAGTTGGTTGTTTTTTCTAGGAAGCATCATCCTGCACAGTTACAGCTTCAACTAAAGGGTAGAACAATCACTCAAAGTATATCTTTCAAGTATTTAGGTGTCTGGTTCGATTCCAAATGCACATGGGGAAAACATATTGCGTATCTAAAACAAAAATGCCAACAAAGAATCAATTTTCTTCGTACAATTACCGGAACTTGGTGGGGAGCACACCCGGAAGATCTTATCAGGTTGTATCGAACAACCATCTTGTCGGTTCTAGAGTACGGTAGCTTCTGCTTTCAATCCGCGGCGAAAACACATATCTTGAAGCTGCAACGAGTTCAATACCGTTGCCTCCGAATCGCGCTTGGCTGTATGCACTCGACGCATACGATGAGCCTCGAAGTACTCGCGGGTGTTCTCCCACTGACAGATCGTTTCGCTGAGCTGTCTTTCCGGTTCCTCATCCGTTGTGAAGTATTGAATCCTTTGGTAATAGAACAGTTTGAGAAGCTGCTCGACCAAAATCCTCAAACAAGATTCATGAGTTTGTACTATGAGTACATGACGCTGGAGGTTAATCTCCAATCGTGATTGCTTCCAAGCCTTCTATAGTTCCTCTGTAAATTTTGATCTGACCATGATGCAAGAAATCCATGGAATACCAGATCACCATCGGTCGATGGTTGTTCCCTCAATTTTTGCAATCAAGTACCACCATGTAAGTAACGATAAAAGATTTTTCACAGATGGGTCAACCATAAATGCTTCCACTGGATTTGGTGTATTTAATCAATTTCATAGCGCCTCCTATAAACTGCAGAAACCATGCTCCGTATACGTTGCGGAACTCGCAGCTATATTTTACGCAGTAGAGCGAATTGCCTCACTACCTTCTGACCATTATTTCATTTTTACGGATAGTCTTAGCTCATTGGAGGCTATTCGCCCAACTAACAATTTTCACAATGTAAACGCTTTACTCATTTCATTTATACAGTCTCAAGCTGTATTCAAACGTTATACGATATGAGGAAACCTTTACTCAACCTCTATACAAGCAAATTTGGCGAACTTAGTCAGCTACTTATGGCTGTTGGAACAGTCGGGAGAAGCTCTTATTGCATATCCATTAACGCTTCTTATACAGCTGTTATCCTGCTGTTTAGTTGTGTGTGAACTTGAAAGGCGCTTATTCAACCTTTTCCCGGTTGTCCAATAATCACTACACAGCTTTCTCTTGAAGCCGGGTTAAATATTTTTACGCTTTTTTATGAAGGAATTTATTAAGTTTATTTTGCTGTGAATCAAATTAACCGAAATTAGTTACAAAATCATCACCAAATTATTTACCCTGCACCGGAACCTGGAATCGAACTCGAGACGACCTCATTGGCAAACCTTGACACTACCAACTGTGCTACGCCAACACTTTGAACTTATGTAAACAAATCAACATTCCCTTCTACAACAAAATCGCTGAGTAGAGGCTTCATAATAGTGCACATGAATCACTTTTCTCGACTAGTTATAAAAGAGCAGAGTAAAAGTTGTAAAACTGCACACGTCTAAAAATAAACGTAGTTGACTGTGAAAATGCTTCCGAAGTTGCTCTAACACAGTTTATAAGCTGAGTACAGGTTGTTTAGTTGTTGAAAAAGCACTTTTGATGTTTATGTTATTCAGCAAGAGTGGTTGGTTGTGTAGAAGCCATCAAATGAGCAATATATTCACTTTGTTAGCTTTGTTTTGCAGCTACAAGTTGAAAGTTGATTAGTGTATGTATAGAAGTGACATTAGCGTTTATTGGCTGATGTTATTCAGTGCGACTGACAAATTGAATAATGGTTGTGAGAAAGTTGAGTAAACGCTCTCCAAAACTATTTTGCTAGCTTTTGCTTGTAGCTGTATTTGCAGCTTCTTTTCAGCTACTTTACAGCACAACGCTGGAAAAGTTGGCTTACAAAGCTGAAAATGTTAGTTGGGCGTTCAATGAGGCCGATGAAGCACTCCTCGTATTTCCTGCCTGAAATACGATCTAAACTGAGTGCTTTATCTAACTGCTCCTATACTATCACCTTAGCTTGGGTCCCATCTCATTGCTCAATTCCGGGTAATGAGAAAGCGGACTCATTGGCTAAGGTGGGCGCTATGGAAGGCGATATTTTTGAGCGACAAATCGCCTTCAACGAATTTTTCTCCATTGCTCGCCAGCAAGTCCTCATCAGTTGGCAACAAAAATGGAATGATGGTGAATTGGGAAGATGGTTACATTCTATTCTCCCACAGGTGTCGAACAAACCATGGTTCAAAGGGTTGGACATGAGCCGCGACTTTATACGCGTTATTTCAAGGCTTATGTCCAATCACTGCTCGTTAGACTCGCACTTCTATCGAATTGGGCTCTCAGGCAGCAATTTATGTGCGTGTGGCAGTGGTTATCACGATATCGAGCATGTTGTTTGGTCGTGTACCTTACACCGTGTTGCCAGATCTGAGTTATCCACATCCCTCAGGGCCCGAGGAAAACAACCCGCGATACCCGTTAGAGATGTCTTGGCGAGCCGAGACCTTGACTATTTGAATTTAATTTATGTGTTTTTAAAACGGATAGATTTGAGGATTTAGAAGTTAGTGTCATCTTGTGTTCTCCCAAGTTGTTAGCTACCCATCGGTGTACCCCCATGTTTGTCTTTTTCATCAGAGTGTCGCCTAGTTCGAGATCAAGAGCACATTGCTCTCCAAACCTTGTGTTCACAACCCCTACCCTGCCATCCATTTGTTACAATTTGTTACCCCTAACCTCGAGATAGCCGCGAGTAATCGGCCCCCGCTTTACTAACGTTAGTTTTAAGTAATTTTGTTATCTAAACAATGAATATCGGCTCCGCAAAGCTACAGCAAATGAGCCTGGAAAAATAAACGAATTATTAAAAAAAAAAAAAAAAAAAAAAAAAAAAAAAAAAAAAAAAAAAATATGTTTGCTCGTGTGGTTAGAATCAAAAAAGTTTAGCAAGCACCACACGGGCAAAAATATTGTCAATACTCAAAAGTATTGACAATCATATTGATGCAAATATTGACGACGAAAATATTGATGAACATATATTGATGCAAAATCAAAAAAGTTTGATTTCATGTTTCAATATTTTCCCTTCTGTTTGACTACATGGTGCACCAGCAGATGGGGCCTGTTCGAGGGCTGCACTCTCATTGGTGGAAAAATGGCATCACAGCGAACAAAAAATAATCGATTAGTTGTTAATCGAGTAATTAAAAAATGGGACATCTCTGATTTGGTGTGTTTTTTTTTATAAAAATGAGCGCAAAATTTCATCTCTACTGAGGGGGCAGCAAAACCACAAAATTACTTTGAATACGGGGGGTATTCATTGGATGAAAGGGACCGTGAAAGAGGACACTAAAATTGAAGGTTTTTCTTCCGACAGTTTCATCTTAGTATTCATCTTTGTCCAAACTGCAGAAACCAGGTCAATCCATCAGTTGTGTAATATAACATTGTACGATGTACATCGATTTTGCGAACAATATTACATCCATTGTTGTAATATTGTATATGCTTTTTGTTATTACATCATTATTTCATACATCAGCTTGAATTACGTTGATCGATATTACATTTTTTTGCTGTGTACATCGACATGTTACGTCTAGAAACGATTCTCTGATGACTGTGTTGGGGAAGCAGCGTATGCATCTACGTAATGTGTGGATTTGTTAGTTATTTGGACGCTTTTGGACAATGCTTGACATTTACCACTTTTTCAATAGTTTCTTTTTGAAAATCAACAGTCAAAAACCATGGTTATCGATGCGTAGAAATATTGGTGATCGATTGGTGATAAAATTATTGAAATTGACCCAGGGGCAGCTGAGTTATTAACGTTCAGAATCTTTCATAATTTCGTTACATGTTCCATTTTTGGTTTTCACAAAGTGCAAACCCATATAGAAATCACAGACGTTGTCCTACGTCAAAACTGCTCGAGACTCACAGAATAACAACATGTCACCATGTTTATATAACAAACCTTGCATTAGCATACCTTCTGTCGGTGGCATACCTTCTTTTCGACATCATTTCGCATAATTTTGACAGTTCACGCCAGTGTTTTGGCGTTACGCTTGTGTTTGTGCGATCGCTTGTGTACATTCATTTTCCTCACTTTGCACAGGTTTTGCTCTCGCACTGTCTCACCACCGCAGAAAGAAAACCAACAATCAGCCAAAGCAGTGAGCTGAGGAGCGAGCAGATTGTACATTTTTTGGCAAATTTCCTTCCTGTAGTTACGGTGTGAGAGTGTTGTGCATTAATAGGCAAAATTCGGTAGGAAATTTACGACGAATCTCGTCCGAAATATCGTCTTCCGGTGGTCCGTGTTTGCCGCGTCCGGTTCGCAGTGGCCGTCAGTGGAAATTCCGCCGAATAGCGGTGAATTTTGCGATTGCAAATCTTTGTTATTTTCTTGTTCCCGTGCGTGTGTCGGCCCCGTTTTCGAAAAAAGTTCCTCGGCTGCCAAAGTGTTTCAGTAAATCGATTTTCTTCGACCGTGTGTGGCGTGAGAGTGTTGTGAAACAACCGAGTGCGTAGTTTCCCCGCAGAAGAAAAGGAAAACAGCCCGCACTAATTGGACCGGTTTTTCCGGATCAACCGGAAGCCAGGGATTGAAATCCTTGTTATCGAGGAAATGTTGCCGTTCAGTCCTCCGATTGTGAAGCGTCTGCTAGGCTGGAAGAAAGCCTCGCCCGACGATTCCGTCGAGGGGAAGTGGTGCGAGAAGGCGGTCAAAAGTCTGGTGAAGAAGCTGAAAAAATCCGCAGCTTTGGACGAACTCGAACGGGCCATTACGACGCAGAATTGTAACACGAAATGCGTTACCATACCAAGGTAAGCTTCGAAGAAAGATGAATTCGATGGGAGGGCGGGAGAGGAGGGAGGTACCGCGCAGTGCGTGAACGGGTTTAACCTTCGCAGCGAACACCGAGGTCAGCTGTGGCGGCGAGGGCAATTCCTTTTGGGAGGTTTTCTAGCCTAGTTAGTTGCCGATACACCCGATTCTCCGACTGGCTGGTGTGCATTGGGTGAGAATCTATCGAGCAAGGCACAGGACAGACGGATTACCTATGACAGTCAAAAAGGGAGGTGCAAAAATAGAGCATGAGTTTTTGAAATGCGATCGACCCTGACTCTGGTTGCACATAGGCAGCATTTATTTTATTGTTTAATTAATGATTAGATTCTGATGAACGCAATAATTTTGTGATGTTCGCAGCGAGCGAGTTGATATGATTATCGTAGAATCAAATCTGTTTACTTGTTGTTTCGGTCGCGTATGGTGTCAAATTGCGGAATCATGCTTGGCAAAGTACAACATTTCGAGCGCGGTAATCAAAACATCGATTCTCTATTATGTATTAAGTTTGCAATGGAACTGGAGTCTTCGCGATAACATATATTGCAGGATTTCTTTCAATAGTTTTCTGAGGGTAGTTTTGAGACCTTCTACAGGGTGTTGGAAGGATTCTAAAGGGAATTTCAAATGCTTTCTATGATTGATTTCGCTTTTTTGCCCATTCAGTGTAATTTATTCGATTCTAATTGAGTTGTAAATTAATTTTGTTTGTTTATTTGGTTCTACATCAACAGACTGGGCTTAGTCCTAATGATAGATTAAGCAATACTAGGAAATACAATATAGTCAAGAAGTAACAAGCTGCAAAGGCCGTGAAGTCCAACTTAATTCCTTATTCTTAAAAATATATCACGGAATCTCTGACGTAGCGTCTCGTGTGCCAAGTGAAAAAATCAAATAAGGAAGCAACACGATTGAAAACCCTTTGTAGCCCATTGATAGCACCATACGAACTATAGTTTGTACGACGAAAAGGTATCCTCAGCATGGCGTTGTTACGGAGTACTCGTGCTTGAACGTTAACGTCGATTTGTTGTAGAATAGAAGGACAATCGATTCTGCCCTGTAGAATGTCTGCCACAAACAGGGCCCTTGTCGTATCTCTTCGACTCCACAAAGGATCCAGGTGAATTAACTGGCACCGACTTTCGTAGCTTGGAAGGCGATGAGGATCCCTCCAAGGCAATCGTCGAAGGGCAAACCAGATGAATCGTCGTTGAATAGACTCTACTCTTTGTGCACTGTGTTGGTAATTGGGATTCCATACAGGGCAGTAGTATTCTAACACCGACCGGACGAGGGAGCAGTAAAGCGACTTCAAACAGTAGATGTCCGTGAAACTTTTAGCTATCCTGAAAATGAAGCCGAGCGTTCTGGATGCCTTGTCGATCGACGTACGAGATATGGCAGGGTGTCGACTACCTGGAAAAACCTGGAAAGTCAGGGAATGTCAGGGAATTCTATTTATGATCTGGAAAGTCAGGGAATGTCAGGGAATTTTAATGTAGGTCAGGGAAAAAAATAATGTTGATCACATTGCAAAAAATCATGTGTGGGACACATAAAACAATCTTTGAAATTTTATCAGTGCATGACGTCAAAGTTTTTGGGAAGATCCCGGGCATCAGATCTACTCGCTGCGTTTATGGACGCCCTTGCCGGTATTTCTTCGAACAAGTTGCTGCAAGTGTCCATGGATGGGCCCAATGTGAATTGAAGCTAGAGGTACAAAAAGGTGGCGAGAAGCTGATAGATCTGGGAAGCTGTGGGCTGTATATTTTGCATAATACATTCAAGGATAGTGTTCGCAGGATTAGTTGGGATGTTGTCAAATATTTGCGTGGTATCTACAATATCTTGAAAAATGTACCAGCAAGATCTACCATATTCCCGCTAAAGTTTTGCGGTCACCGATGGTCGGAAAATAGTGCTGCTGTTCAGAGGGCAATCAAAATTACTCCGCAAATACGAAAATTTATTCAAGGCGTCCAGAAAGACAAAATCGAACCAACGTCCTTCCTACCAAGATATTAAAAACTGTTTGAATGACTCGCTGCTGATGGCTAATAGCACGTTCAGACTACAGAGTTATAACATGTTATAACACTATCTTGATGGTGGTTTCTGTGTTGCAATTATTTGACAACCGCTATAACATGTTATAACTCTGTAGTCTGAACGTGGTATTAAGCTAGCTTTCTTTAAATCAGTTGCTGTCGAAGTTAAGCCATTTCAATGCGAATTTCAGACGGACCTTTTATGGTGCCTTTTTTGTGCAACGCAATGTATCAAATGGTTAGAGGCGTTATGGAAAGGTTCATTAATATTAACCATCTGAACGGTGTACATTCTGAACGACGTCTCGACTGTAGCATAATGCAACTTCATATGGATGTTGTAGAATTTGCTTCTTCTAGGGCTAATTATTCGGACATGATTCTTATGCTCGGTGATTTCAATCAACCTGGGCTTATCTGGTCGCACTCAGGTCAGGGATTTGCATATCCAGATCCAAAAGCATCTGTTACTACTCCGGCCAGCCGCTTGCTTGTGGACGGTACTGGTTTTCATGGATTGAGGCAGATAAATCTAGTTCCCAACTTTCAGTCTCATTTCCCAGACTTGGTGTTCGTTAGTGAAAATTCACTTCTTGACTGTACCGTTACTGAGGCGCCTGATGTCATCGTTCCTCTTGACAACTTCCATCCTGCTTTGGATATTTCTATCGCAAATAGATCTAAACTTCACTTTGATGAAACTTCGATTGTCTATCGTCTCAACTTCCGGAAGAATGATTTACGTTTGCTGCGACGTTCCTTGTCCGAGATAGACTGGAACGAATTGAACGAATTCAACGTGGTATCCGACCAATTCAATGTTGGCATCACTTCATCCAGATTTCGTAATCGCTTAATGTCGGGCAATTTTAATGTATGACTACTTTTAGCTTTAAGTGTTTTATTAAGACTTTAAAGTCAGATGGACTAATAATAAATAATAATAACAATATTGCACAGGTAAATGCACATTTGATCAATATGATCGCAAAAACGGAACGACTGGACGTTTTTTGGCACAGGTTATTGGTCGGCGTATTCAGAACTATTGTTGGTTGTGAAAATGATTTGCTGCTTATCGCATGGCAACGCCAATGCAGAGAGAGGTTTTTCGGTAAATGCAGAATATCTTTGAAAACATGAGGGAAGAGTCAAGGCCCAAGCGCAATGTCAGCGGAACGGCAGTGGAAGCGGAAAAGCCCGATCTGAGTAAGCCTATTTGTCGGATTGAAAACTAGTTAAGGCCGGCGCACAATAGATACGTTTTCGGGTTTTTTGACAGATAATGCATCGGCTAACTGTCAAAAAACCTGAAAACGTATCTATTGTGCGCCGGCCTTTAGAATCAAATCGAGTGCGGTTAGGCATCTTGATGTCAGTTGTGACACCGTTTCCGTTCCGCTTCCGCCCACATTGCGTTTGGGCCTTCAGTCGTAGTGCGACGTCAGATCTATGATGGTGTTACTCATGCAAGCGGGTTCGAAAACTTACAAATTTTGAATGAAATTATTCAGCGAGTTCGAAAAATCGCATTCGCTTTCCATGTAGACAAGGATCGTCGTTTGCAGGAGAAAAGTGTTCATGATAAACATTTTTAAAAGTAATCCGAAAATTAACACATATTCAACTTGCAATTTCTCGTTGTAATGTGAACTCACTGAGAGAATAAAATGTTAATGATAATTAAACTTAAATTATTTTACCATGTCTGCGGTTGTCATATGGAGTTCTAGAGAGTACGAAACTGACTAATGCCTTTTATTTTTTTGTATTTATTTTACAATAATTTATATGTAAAGAGAAAGGATCGTCTACTGGTTGATTTTTATTTGGCTGTGAAATTATGAACACAAATTGAGAGCTGCGTCCATTATTTGATCTTTTGTGGTACCCCTTACTTAGTAATGAATAGGGAGCCTAGTTGTGAGCAGTAGTTATTCATTATTATATTATAATATGTATTTAAAGCCCTAGGTCTATTCACATCCTTCGTAGGTAGTCGGTCATATGGTCTGTAAAAATTGTATTAGTATCAAGTTCTGTTGTAAGTGCCATGAGTATGCTATTCTTGATATTTTCGAAAGCTTACCCTGCTGCTCATTTTAAACTAACCTTAATTTACGCTACGGTATAATAAAGCACATCACGTTGTAGCTTCTTAGGTTAAAATAACGAAGTTTTGTGGACTGGAATTTTTCTGAAAACCGGCTGGAAAGTCAGGGAAAGTCAGGGAATTGTATTTTCGACTTTGAGTCGACACCCTGTGTGAGTTGACAATCTAAGATGACTCCCAGATCCTTTATGTGATAAACACGATGTACATCAACGCCTTCTAGGATATAACTGAATGTAATTGGCTGTTTCTTCCGTGAGAACGTCATTACTGAACATTTTGTTGGATTTACAACCATGCGGTTCAGTTGGCACCAATTAGCAAAAGCGTTGAGTTGCAGTTGGAGAAGGTGGCTGTCAGCGATGGCTCGGATTCGGTGATAGATTTTCATTTCGTCTGCGAACGACAGTCGTTGACCGTCGAGGACGAAATTGACGTCGTTGAAATACACAACAAATATCAACCTTGCGGAATGCCCGAAGTGGCAGGGAACGAAGGAGATCGGCAGCCGTCGATTGCAATTTCCAACTGACGATCAGATAGATAGGATGCGAAACATCGTGGCAGCCAGCAGGGAGTTGTGGAACGTCGGGGATGTAGTAAATGTTATATAGGATAGAGCCGATGAGGCTGCCTTGAGACACACCCGCTGGAACCTCGTGGAGTTCTGAGGTGGCACCTGAAAGATGTACTTGAAACGTTCGATTTCTCAAATAGTTTCTTACCATTCTCGTGAGGTATTTTGGGAAGTTCGCCTGCACCATCTTATGGACAAGTCCATCGTGCCACACGTTGTCGAAGGCCT